GAACTCAGTATCTGATGGTGAGTCTTCTAAAAATGACTTTAAATTACTAAAGGGTTCGGGGTGCAGATATGTATAGCATCCAAATGTCATTAAAAAACATGGGCCTGAGCTCAGAAAGGAAAAAAATGGCTCACACTATAGATTTTTCCCCTCTATGTTTATAGTGGTAGCTTTGGCAATTAAAACAGAATTTAATCATCAAATATTTATGGGTGGACTGACTGAGAAATTCAAAACTGTCTTTGTGTTACCAAACCCAAAGTGTATTCTGTAGTTTTTTCTCAGCTGCATTCAAAGTTGTTTCCTGGGATCTGCAGAGATGGCTCAATGGTTAGATGTGTTTGATGCTCTAGCAGAGGACCTGGGTTCAGTTTCTAGCACTGACATGGTGGCTCTCAACCATCTCACAACTCCATTTCCGGAAGTGTCTTTCACAGGCACTGCATACCTGTGGTACACATGCATACATATTACTAGTCATGGATACTTGCCTCTCACTCTACATACTTCAGGTGCCAGCCTTCACCTCTTCCTGAGATCCCAAATCTAATCCATCACAAAGTCCTATCAATTTTGCCTTTCAAGTATTTGTAAAATAAAAGCTACTTCAATTCTACTCTTCCTACCCTAAAGTTTCATCATTTCTTGTCCAAATTACTTGGAACAGAAAGCAGCACCTTAGATATGCACCATTCTAACACTGAGCTACAAGCTCAAACCAAATTACTCTTACAGCTATATTCAAAGCCATTCCAAGTATGTTCTTTGAACTACAATACTACTACTCCACAAACTTTTAAAACCTTTAATAGCCATCTGACATACCAAAATATTCATTCTATTGTGTGTTGCTGGAAAAAGATAATGAGCAAGACAATCAAACACAAATGCCTTCCATATCTGGTCACACGTAAGGCCTCAGATAAACTGTCCCCACTGCTCTACAAAAGCACTACTTTATTTCCCTAAACAACCCAGAAGAAACCTCAGCATGCAGACCCAATTTAAAAAAATAAGTAAGATATTCAAAAAGGTAAGAAGTGGCAGATTTGAGAGGTGGTAGCAAAGGATAACAGACTCTAAGTCACTCTTGGTCACTGCATAGCTTACTCAACTGTGGAAGTGATATTGCTTCAAGTCCCTCATTTGCAAGAAGGAAATGGCAACAAAGCCTTCTTTAAAGGACTCCCAGTCTAAATAAGTTAGTATGTGAGTATGTCTTTGACACAGTGTTCTGTAAACATTAGCCACTATCATTATCTTTGATATTAGCAGTCCTCATTTCAATGGATCTGCTTACTTGCGACCATCTGTCAGTGCCATGCTAGACTATAACTGGGGTGGTGCTGAGGAGGTCATCATAATTATTCTCTAACAGGGCATTCCTGATCCAATTCTCGGCAGAAATTAATCCTAAAAATTTGATAGCAGTGACTATTTTGTTCTCTGAAGTAAACTTTCTCTCAAGAATGGTATACAGCTAGTATCATGAAAGGTGCTTAGGAGATGAAGTAATTCATTATATACTCTGAAAGACATTGGAGTATTAAAATTTTGATTTTTTTTCTGGGACCATGGATAAGGGCTTCAATGTTTTCCAATGTATGGCACACAACAAATACTCATTAAATATTTTTAAAAGTAATGAACCTTTATAAAATAAAGGCAGTTCTAAGCAAGCGATAGATACTACATGCCAATTTTCTCCCTTCCCCCTTCAAAGTTTCTATAAGCTTTAAGTCAGAATCTACACCAAAATAACACAGAGAAACCCTGTCTCGGAAAAAAAAAAAACAAACAAAAAAGTCAGATTCTATGTGAGTTGTTTTTCTTCTAATTGTGCTTCCTATATTATTTCAAAGCCAAAAAAATGCAAATATAAGCAAACCAAGAAACTAATATTAACAACAACTAGTTTAATGGTAGTACATAGAATCTGGATATGCAAAACTTCAGACTATTCTATGCCAAGGTATAGCTTTAGCAAAGGCAATGTCACCCAAAGCGTAATGCACATTCCATAGGTAATACAAAAACCATCTCAGGTTCTACATGGAAAAAATGTCTTTATTTCAAACGTTATGTACTATGGTGATTAGAATGAGAAATGTCCCCCATGGGTTCACGTGCTTGAACACTTGGTCCCACTTGGGGGTTGTGGACTATTTAGGTAGTTTCATCTTGCTGGAAGAAGCACATCACTGGGAGATGGCTTTGGGAGTTTCTAGCCTCACCCCATTTCCAACTTGTTGTAAGATATTTTATTACACTGTGTAAAGATGTGTCACTGTGATTGGTTGAATAAAAAGCTAAACAGTCAACAGCTAGGCAGGGAAAACAGGTGGGACTTACGAGCAAAATGTGGAACCAGGGATGAATCTAGTCGCACAGAGGAGATGCCAGGAGACTCAGAACAAGTCAGAGATACAGAATGAAAGAAAAGTAAAAAGTCATATAGTAGAACATAGATTACAAAATATGGGTTACTTTAAGATGTAAGAGCTAGTTAGGAACAAGCCTAAGTAAAGGCCAAGCTTTCATAATTAACAGAGTCTCCATGTCATTATTTGGGAGCTGGCTGGAGTGACAGACAAAGACTCATTACACCAACTCTTGATCTTCTGCACCATTACGGACTCCTCATGGAGGACTGTAGGATAAAATAAATTCCTTATGTTGCTTTTGGTAGTGGTATTTTTTCACAGGAACAGTAAAGTATGGTGATATATTGTGTCCCCCAATATACTGTGCATCCTAATAAACTTACTGGGGTCAGAGGACAGAACAGCCACTAGATAGACATAGAGACCAGAAAATGGTGGCACACATGCCTTTAATCCTATCACTTGGGAGGCAGAAATCCATCTGGATCTCTGTGAGTTCAAAGTCACACTGGAACCTGCAAGGCATGGTGGCTCACGCCTTTAATCCCAGAAAGTGATTGCAGAAAGCAGAAAGAAAAGTATATAAGGCATGAAAACCAGGAACTAGAGCTGGCTAAGGTTTTAGGCTTTTGAGCAGCAGTTCAGCTGAGAGCCATTTGGATGAGGACACAGAGGCTTCCAGTTTGAGGATACAGGATCAGCTGAGGAATTGGTGAGGTTAGGTTAGCTGTGGCTTGTTCTGCTTCTCTGATTTTCCAGCATTCACCCCAATACTTGGCTCTGGGTTTGTTTTTGGTAACAAGAACTTTTAAGAGTAAAGTAACTAATACATGTACATATATATTTTCGTGTAATTAGGAGAGCAAATAGTTCAAATTTTTATTACTTAGAATAATGAAGTGAATCAAAAATATCTTAAATTACAGTTCACAGAAGGTAGACAAAAACAGGAAAAAAAAAGAAGTCACCATTTACAGGTGAGTCAATTTTAGTAATCAGGCAAAAGCCTGGGAAGATGAATGATCGTAACAGGTGTAATGAAAAGAGATACCAGTCTTCCAGATGAAGGCAGAGCTTTGCCTCATGTAACAATTCTCTATAAGTCATGCACAAGGACTACCATCTCAGCTTTGAGTATTTAACTTGTAGTACTAAAATCAGCATGTAATTTTTCCACTGTGAAAAATCTGCTACATATTTCACTTCATTTGTTCTCAAAACAATAAAACCTGACATGTTCCAAACAGATATTTGAAATAGGAACTCACCAATTTTCCTATGCAAAAATAGGAAACATAAAAAGCTAAAACCTTGTATTTTTAAGGAAGAAATATTAATTCAAATAATAATGCAGTACAAATCATATATACATTAAAAAAGGATGTTAAGTAAAAAACAAGCAATTCTTTTTTTTTTTTTTTTTTGGTTTTTTTTTGTTTTTCGAGACAGGGTTTCTCTGTGTAGCTGTGGATGTCCTAGAACTCAGAGAGATCCACCTGCCTCTGCCTCCCTCAGTGCTGGAATTAAAGCCGTGTCACACCACTACCCTGCACAACCCTCAATTCTTACCTTCCTTTCCTACCATCAACTTACCAACAATCACATCAAGTCAGGCTAAGCGGTGATGATAAAGGTAACATTTCTGAAGCATTACCATATCCCAGGCTCTTTCAAGTGCATTAACTTGTACAAGCACTACTACCAGAACTTTATCACCATCCCCTTTATACTAAAGGCTGGAGAAGTTAAATGACTTTCTCAAAACCAGAACAGAGGTAGAAAGTTTGGCAATTCAACTACACTCTCTGAGCTCCTAACCATATAAGCCTTTTACCACTTCAGTTTCCAGCCCAAATAAACAGTGGATTTCAACTGTAGAAGAAAATAAGAAAAGTTTTCTAATTGGGCAAACTAAGCCCGGAATTATTCAGATATAGATGAAGTGTCAGAAACATGGGAAGAATGGACAGGCAGCTTAACCATGGTATTCTGTCGTAGAAATAGAGGGGTGGCTTTGATTTCTACAGGGACCTTCAATTCTTCGAGGGAGAAAATTCTATCACCCATTTCCCTTGAGTCAGCACACAAATAATATACATACTTAAGAGGAGGAAGAATTACGAAGACAGCAGCAAAAGATAAAAGGGGGTAGAAAATTGTCGATATTCAAAAACTAGACCCTGAATCACGGGGTTAGCCTGTCACATCCTGGTAAATAAAGAGCAGTGAGGGGCAAGTGTGTGGTTGGAGACGCACACTCCCGTGGTCTGAAAAGTCGCCCTGAAAAGAGCTAACAAGAACGACAGTTTTCAGTACCCATGCTTGAGATGAGGGGGACGGGTGAAGACGCTAGAGGGGTGCAGCTGCTTGCTTTGGGGAGAAAGGGGAAGGCATAAAGGTGCAAGCGTGGATGCAGGTGAGGAGGGAGTTAGACGCGATCAAAAGGGAACCTAGGGCCAAAGCAGCGGGCTCCCGGAGGGCCGGGGACGTCCTGAGGAAGCATAATCGCCAGAGGGAGGGCCCCGGGGACAGGGCCGGAGGGCACGGGCCGGAGCAGCGGCGACTGGCGCGGCGAGCGGAGCCGGCCCAGGACCGGCCGGCCGCAGGAGCACCTACCCGGACACGCGGGGCGGCGGGTGGACCCTCGGCGGCCCCGGGGGCCGAGGCTGAGGCGGCGGCGAGCTCCTGCAGCGGGCGCCCCGGCCAAGCCGCATCCTCCTCCCGGCCTCCCTCCTTGCTCTCACAGGCTGCTAAACTTCTTCCCCACCGTCAACACACCCGGCCGCCAGAGGCTGCGCTTAGCCCGAGCCCCAAGGCCGGGCGGGGGCTCGGGCGTCCAGTTTCCGCCCCGCTAGTCACCAGGGCGCGTGCGCCGGAGAGCTCTTCCTGCTCTGAAGCTGGGAACTTCCGGCGGCGGATGTGCCTGCTGGGCCGCAGCCCCTGAAAGTGTTCTGCTACACTCCGCCTCGCACCTCCCAATAGAAAATTTCCCTGGGATGCCTCCTAATTCAGAAAGTTCCACACAGTGAGAAAACGGGAGGGCCAAGGGCCCTTTAGGATGCACCAGGGTGTAACATGTGCTCACCTCCCATTCTGAGCCCTTAAGTGTACTAATTTCTGAAAACCAACTCAGTGTGGGTAAATAGTTGAAGACACTTTAGGTTGGAGGGAATGAAGGGGACTTTTCATACAAGAGAGAAGTCTGTAGAGCCTCTTTCAACAAGACCAGACAACAACTGGAGAGTGAACCAAAGTAAATTAAAGTGACTCAGAGGAAGATCTATCTAAGGGGCCACAATAAAATTTAACTGATGGTAATGATCCAGAGCATAGGACAGCCATTTGGTGATGATGTGTGTATTTGGAACTTGTCGTACGAGTGGGATACCATCTGTAACATATAAAAAGGGAGACTTTGTAGTGCTGTAATTCCTTCTGAGAGCACAATTAGAAAAATAGCTGGGGCAGTTTTGCCTTTATGAGGGGAAGAGGACAGGAAAGAAAATTCATCCCAAGAAATCTTGGCAGAATTTGTCATAGGTAACAATGACAATGATGATTTCTCTGCCACCATTGCCTACTCTAAGATGTGTATACCTTGGAGGAGCCATTTGTCTAGTTCAGGACTTCAAGAAGCCTTTCATCAGCCAATTTAAGTTCAGAAGTCAGCTATTGAGTTTCCTCTATTATAAACCTCAGGGCAACATTAGGAGACAAGGTTAGAGAGGAAAGTTCCTTGACATCATGATTAACATAAATTTTGTTTAGTAAGGTAAACTGTGAAGGCATGACCAGCAAAGTAGTGCATGAGAGCCCTGCAGGACTGAAGGACTGTTTGGAAACCTCACATGAGCAATTGATGAGAGGAACTGCATTAGTAATTAGTCCCTCCCAACAATATATTCCATACATAATTTTTGATGGAAGTGGACAGTAGAAGACAAATTTAGGTGAAGTCTGGGTCCCATTCCATTGCCCATTGAGGGCAAAGGCAAATGCCATTTTCTTTTTTTTCTTTTCCTTTTTTTTATTAAATTTATACATTTATTTTACATCCCAACTGCAGTTTCCCCTCCCTACTCTCCTCCCATTCCCTTCCCCCACCTCCCCTCCACACCCCCAAATCCAGTCCTCCTCTGTTTCTGTCCAGAAAGGGGCAGATCTCCCATGGGTGTCAACAAAGCATGGTATATCAAGTTGAGGTAGTCAAGGCAACCCAGTATGAGGAGTAGTTTCCTAAAAGCCAGCCAAAGTGTTAGGGACAGGCCCTGTTTCCACTGCTAGGAGTCCCACAAGTAGACCAAGCTACACAACTGTCACACATATACATAGATGGCCTAGGTCAGTCCCAATTGACATTCTGAAAGGGAAATATAGTGTCATTGTGTTTTGTTTAATAGAATTGTTTATGGATGTCCCATGGCTACAACACTGGTATTTTGATTAATTTCCCCTAATCCTGTGATTTTGACAATAGAATATTTAATTGCCTCATTTAATCAGAGAACATGGGTGGTTAGGATACAACATGCCACATTGCAGTTGAGGGAGGTTATCTTCCAGAGGATCAGGTACCATAAATAGTGAAAATATGGTTGGGTTTAGCCTCAGCATTTAGGAGGATGGGCCATTGGCCCATAGTTAGGTCAGATCTCATTTGAACTTGAATGACCAGCAGATCTGCTGAGCTTATGTACAAGCTCCCTCTCAGGAAGTAGGAGATCTGTTTTGTGGCCTTTATCCATTCTTTTAACCCTAAATTTTACTTTATTATTATACTCCACCTTTTCCTTCTTCTTGTAATAATATTGCAATTCTGTGTCCTACTTTAGATAGAGGCCTTTTCTAATGAGTGTCTCTCTTCTGAAGTGGCTCATTGTCCTGAAATCCCTAAAACTGTACCAATTTCCCTCAAGTAAGTCTGTCCTTTTAGGAATGGGGGCTGTAGCCATAGGGCACTCTCAGTCTGTCATTTTCTTCGGCCAAGTTTGGAATAACCACCAAAGGAACTGAGTCTGTTGGAGGACTGTGGTTTGGGTACAATTGGTATAAAATCAATGGATTCAAAATCTAGAAATAGCCCTTTGAAGGATGAGAGTAGTTGGTACCAATCCCAGGTAGGCAAAGGTTTAGGTATGCCAGAGAGGCTTTTAGATCCATCCAACCTACAGAGTGTCAGAAGGCCTTAGGATCATCTTAGTCATGTCAGACTCAGCATAAAAATGAGATTAGCTCTTGAAGGCCTGTATTCCCACAAGGTTATTCCTGTCAGTTGGGGTTATAACTCCATAAGTATCCCACAGGTACAAAGGCAGGGAGCTTTGGGGACAGCTTTATAAGTTACAGGGAACCTTATCTGGTCAGGCTCATAAATTCTGCACACAAATGTTCCTGATTGGAAGTGGGCCTTGCAGTTGGTTAGTCATTCTTGCCTGGGGGCATTTATCATACTGATTGTAACAACAGATTTGTCCCTGGCAGTTTTTGTTTTTCCAAACAGGTGTCAACCAGGAAAGAATTGAAGGGAGAACTTTTACTGGGGCCTGGGCCCAAAGATGAGAGTACTGTTGAAAATGGTCCCCTCTTATATAGGTCTAAGGTGGTCTTGTTCCATCTTAGAGCAAGAGGTCCTGCTGAAGAATGACAAGTGGCAGATCTGTATGAGCCCTTTACCAGATATTGGTATTGGAATACATCTTTAAAGTCATCAGAATCAGTGGTGGTGCAACAGACCTCGTTTATATCTGTCCATTTCTTGGAATCTGGTTCAAAGAACCTTGAAGTCCAGCAGGGGCACTAGGCCAAAGAAGGCTCCACCAAGACTGTTGAAAGGAGTGCCACAGAAACATTTTAATCATCAGAGAGTGGTACCCCAACAGGGTGCTTCCCTTATGGGAACTTGTCCTAGAGTGTGGACACTTGAAGAGCAACCTGAGGTCCTCTAGTGGCTTGCAGGTGTACCTGAAACACACAGCTTCAGGGGAATGTGCTGTAGTCTCAGGGATTTCAGTAGCTTTCTAGAGCTCAACACAAATGTGATGGATCCAGGCATCTAATTCTGCAACTCAAACTGCCATGGGAGTGGACAGGAAAACAGAATATGGACCCTCCCATAAAAGGTGAACATGGCCTTTATTGAGATCTGGTATTTTGAATAGTATCAAATTTCCAGAGCAAAAGAGGTAGGGGTCCTGTTTGTTCTTCTCTATAAAGTCCTGTCGGTAGCTCTGATGGGATCTGTTGAGATTTTGCCAGGTGGGTGACATGGATGACATGTTTGGTGGTTTCATGGTCTAATACAAGATCATTAGTGAGGAAGGGCCCACCATATAGAGCCTCAAATGGTGTGAAGACCTGGCAACTAGGCATATTCCAAGATCTAGGAGCAATAGTTTGGCCCAGGGAGATCAAGTCTCCCGAATTAGCTTTTTTAAGTTTCACTCTAGGAGATCATTATCCTTTTCTACCTTTCCAGTGGACTGGGGTTACCATACTACGTATAATGTTATCTGATTAATATAGTGTCCAGTTACCATAGTAATAATAGTAGGTTTCCTCCGAAAATCTGACATATCTAGCCATGGGTTCTTGTCCCCAGTAATGGTGCTAGATATGGGTTTCAATTTTCAGAGAGTGCTTAAATCAAATCAGAAAGTGGTTGATTGCTCCTGTAACATTTTGTGGCATGGTTGCACAAATGGACATGTCTACAAACCAGTTATTGGTGTATCTCATAGGGTTCACAGCTGGGTAATCGATTTTCTCCTCTGATAGAAAGCATAACATTTTCCAGTGCTATGAAAGCTAGCAACTAGAGATGAATCTTCAAAGTAAGTACCAGCTTGACTTCTCTATGACTCAAGTGTGTGGTATCTTCAGCAATAGGGTCTTACTGTCAAGTTCGGGGGGCAGGGGGGGGCGGTGCAGGTAGTAACCAAGAACATTGGTAATAATTGTTTGATGGTCTGTGGGACATCACTTGCCAACAACTCCAAAAGAAGTGCCATTCTCCTGTTATTGAGCTTTGTATTTGCTAAGTTCTAGTGTGTAAAAGTGTTAGGAGGCCCTGTTGGTCAAAGGTTGCAGTCTATGTTGACTTGGCAGCTCTCTCCAAGTTCAACAACATAGAGAACATCTTCCCCCTGGTAGAGGACCTCCTGCTCTCTATCTAATCTCATTTGGAGAATGTCAGAATGTCTCTAGACCCAGATACCTGACTTATCTCAAGGATAACCCTTGACTCAGTTCTCTGCAAACGCTCTTCTGTTGCTGCCCATATGGTAATTAGGTGACATGCTCTAAGTATATTGATAGGGCCATGCTGCTACTAATCCAACTATATGATAGGAACATGCCACCTAATGTGAATTAGTTGATTTCCCAGCTCCCATTCCTAATCATATATATCCCTGATACTCTGGAATAACACTGAGCTGCCTCGCTGAAGATGTCTCCTGGCTGTTCAAAGCTCTCTATCACCACTTCTGCCCCTTTGTCCTCATGAACTGGCGGCCAATGAACCACAAAGAAAAAGGACCCTACACAGAAGGAGTGTTGTTGCCCTATTATAGAATGAGTTCATTTAAACTCTTTTTATATGTATATTTGTATAATCATGGGAAACTTCTACAGTAGGTTTCCACATGACTTTTTCAAAGTATCTTTAGAGTTAGTTCTGCCTGCCTGTAGTCCCTCATGCATCCTTCCTTCCCATCCTCTTTTCACATTTGAAGACGTTAGCCTTCAGTTTTATGTGTGTTCCATTTGCAATACCCACAAAGGCCAGGGAGTTACTAAGGGGCCATTGGGGGAAGGGATTCTAAGAAGAAGATGTAGAATGAAATGGTATGAAGGTTTAAAGGGGAATGTTGGTATACA